AAAGTTGATCGCATGAGTCAGCAGGAGAAAAATTTCATCATTGATGTCACTAGAGTAGATTTGATGCTCAAGTTATTGCCAAGCTTGCAGGCCATATTAACGTCTTTCGTGTAGGTTCCTTCAGTAAAGAGTATGAAGTCAATATTATTTCACTCAGCGCGAACCCGGGACAATCTCTTTACAAAATAAACTTTATTATTGCATCACCTACACTACCATCATTTTAAGAGAAAATTAGCCGCCTTTGAATTCGTCACAGCATTAGTTGGGTTTACTTGCGGTAGGTACAACAGTTGCCCAGGATTAGTTTAAAATAGTGTAAGAGAAGGTTTCGTTTGACTGTCACGTTCGGCAATTAATCACACCACACAAAGCGTTAGTAACGTAAACAACTTGTGGCATAGAGTAGAGGATGCTGAGAACTGAAAAACTAAAGGAAAATTTGACTCTAACTATGCTTTGTCCATAAAGTATTTCTATGCATATCACTCCTTCCCATTTCTTCGAGCGAAAAAAATGTATCCTCGCCAATTATTTTACATAGCAAAGTGACTAAGAGTGTCGCTGTGTCAGCAAATGATATAATGACAATCCACGAACACTTTATTCATCTCATACTCTGCTGCTCATTTAAAAATATCCTTCTTGCATAAACATGATTAGATACGTTTCATATCTAGGTATCATGCAGCTGCTTTGACGTTGCGAAGTGCAAGAGGCTGAGTTTGTCTGTTCGAAGTCTCATTTCTAATTTGCATACCTGATGACCTCTCTCCGCCAGTTCTTGTCCAAGTCGGGAGACAAACAGATGATGGCTCCTCCCAAACATGGGAATCATGACAATATTTGCCGCCAAACAGTTTGAAAGAGTAGCGAAAAACAGCAACAAAAGAAACGCCGCCATCTCGTTTTCTTCATTCAACACAAAATTTATTTGTTCAAGGGTACGTGTTGAATGTTAATCGAGTCAGGTCACGCAAGTAGATGGATCACTTATCTGATTGGCTGATTGACAGCTCTGAACTTAACGATGAGGATGGCGAAGGGTTTTTACGTGATACGTGTGACGTGTGACGGGTGTAATTTACAGAAAGGCGATGCAAGATGAGATTTGAAGTTTTTTTGTTAGAGTTCGTGAAGCGTGAAATACTGTTTAAAATACACGCAACAAGAAAATTTTTTAAAATTCGTATGTGGAATAGGATCAGGACGTCCCCCGCACCCTCCCCTCCCCTTTTTTTTTTTCAGTTCTTACCGTGACACTACAGAAGATGGTAAACATCTCAAAATAATTTCACAAATAATTTCGGCGCGTAATTGAAGAAAAAACTTTTTCTTGCAGAAATATCTAAATAGGTGTGATCTACATATCGTGAAAAATTTTTATTCGATGTAAGAACATTTTACCAATCAAATTGTGCAAGGTATGTCGCTCGTGCCAATCAAATTTCACAGGGTATGTGGTTGCACGAATCAAATTGCAGTGTATGTCGCTCGCACCAATCACATTGCAAAGAGGAGTCATTCGCACAAATCAGATTGTACAGGTTCTGTCCTTTCCACCGATCAGATTTTACATAGTATGTCGCTCGCTTCAACGTAAGTGTGCAGGATACGTTACTCGCACGATACACATCCCTTAGAGAACGTTTACTTGCACCAATCAGATTTTTTTAAGATGCTTGCATCAATCAGATTCGTCTGAGTATGTTTCTCGTACCGATCATTTTGCACGAAGTATGTTACTTGTACCAATAAAATTCAAAGGGCATTTTGCTCGCACCAACTAAATTTGGTAGGTTCTTTTCCTCACACCGATACTATTACACAAAGAGTTTGATGCCGGCATCATTTGGACTGCAGCATTAGGGATACTGCGATTACTGTTGTGTCTGGGCGATAGCACTATCACCGTATAAGTGGCTGAGAATGGTTTCTTTTGAATCGTGGTTGAAGAGATCCCCATATCATCTTTATTTTCTGCTTCAACTGCTTTGTTAAATATCCGTTTCTTTGACTTTAGAACTTTTCATTATTTATTTACTAACTTGTCACTGCGGCCTTGCCGCACTACAAGACATTTTCCAGGAAACAACCTTCACTTATTTCGAAATCGTACCTTACTGGAAAAATTTCGCATGGACCAAATGCTACTGCGATCTCTACTAATAGTCAATTTTCCAAGCAAGTCCCACGTGCGTTGGCATTTTCTACTAATGACTTTACCCTTCACGTGCAATTCCTTGTACACAACATGAGTTAAACCGAACTAAAGTCAGTACATAAAGATATCTTGAAAAATTTGAACATACACTGTATTACTTTCATTTTTCACCATTTCTAATGGTGGGATTTTTCGTCGTCTCAATCTCAGAAGCTATCTTGACGTATTTTCCTGACTCATTCTCTGTTAGTCCACTGGGTAATAAGGCCCACTGACCTGTATGGGCGCATTCGACGGTAATTGTTAATTTACCTGTGATTATCCGTTCATCAACTTTTCATCCATAGGTCAATTAAGAATTATTTCAAATATCACTTCTTGTCAAAATTTCGACCATAAAACATAATAGAACTTGTTTCTGTAAACCCGATATCTTACTAAATAAATAATTAGAATAAGTTAACTAAGAAAATTTGGTTGTCTACTACTTAGCGGCACTAATTTTTAACTGAGATAGCTCTAACCCTAGCAATTTGATCCTTAAAATTAAAAAATCAGTGTTGCGTTAGTTTGCGCATTGGAAACAAATGATAGTTGTACTATCAGTAAAACCGTTGGTGACAGTCAAGAAATGTACAAAGCATGACGGGAAGGTGGTGATGTCACATGAGACACTTCGTTGTCGTCAAAAATTCTTGCTTTTTTTCACTGGTGAAATGTTCCCTTTCCCGTGAATCTTCAGGTCTGTCTCGATATGTCCCTAAAAATGTAAACGGAGTTAAAAGTCAACAGCTTAACTTCATCAAAAAAAAAAAAACTACCTCAATTCCGCACCGCATAAATTTCAGTTCAGCCCAAAATGCGTTACAAAACATGCCATGCAAAACATCAATTGATGCAGGAGAAACAAAGTCACTTTTGTATAATTCGACAATTCACTTTTTTTCACTCGAAACTCCAATGATAAAAAATGTAAAAGTACAAGTGCACAAGTGTCCTACAACTTAATAAATTTCCTACTCGGTGGTTAAAACAGCTTGAAATACGATCAATTAATGGATATGGTACCCTGTGACCTACCTTCACTGCTGCGCCAACAGCCACAACATCTAACAGAAATGTATCATGACCATATATAGAAGGTAGTTCATAATAGGTCACTTTATGGTTTTCTGTGAGAAAAATGGAATAAGTTCACTTGAATTTTAACGTAATTATTTCTGAACCTATCAGGTAAAAGGACCCCGAGTGTGCTAACCGAATCGCTAGAAAACCGTGACTTATTTGTTCAAAAACGTGCTACTCCGATCGTATGTTTATTCGAGTCCATGGTTTATCATTTCCTTGCTCTTATTAATCTTGAGTAACGGTATTCGGCTAATTCAGCGATCTGTCGAAAATGCCACTTATAGTGACTGTTTTGTCATTTTCCCGTTTTGAAGAAACAAAACTGAATTTTCATAAACAATTTTAATCACAATTACAAAGTCATTAACAACAATCAACGATATAAACGCAATTAGGTTTCAAGAGGGCCACCCAATGAAACAACTGACGTTACGAATATTTTTTTTTTCAAATTAGTGCATAGTTTCAATAACACCTAAACGAATATCACGACGATTTTATAGACTTTGCATCGACTTCCCCCAGGAGGAAAGAGAGGCTGGGGGATAGGTAGACTAAACACATACCAGCTTCCTTCAGGAGTCTCTCAATTTCTCTCTGCTGAGTAACTGGAAAAAGCACGTCTGATTGCACACCCAACACCTACAAATGGATCACAATTGTAAATGACTGTTTTCCTATCACCACGAACAAAAATATTTGAGTGGAAAAATTCCAGTGTTTTTTGATCGAATGCATCGTCATTATAGTTAAACTTGTTTAGTTTAACGAAAGATGATGTTATTTAGTGAGTGAAATAGGCCTACTCGAAGAAAAAAAAACCTCTGGTTAGTGAGTGAAATAGGCCCAGTCGAAGGAAAAAAAAACCTCTGGGTGCTTCCACTAGGAGTGGAACCTACAACCTTCTGATTAGTATTTCGGATCCTCTACCACAGGGGACTTGTGGTAGGCAGCCAAAATTATTTATCATAAAATCTTGAGTGGTTTGTTGTTGTGAAGACCAGACAATATAATGTAACTTACAAGGGTGGGGCACTGAACACGTGCTACACCTTCCACAAGTGAACTGAAGCCTTCTCCCAGGTCAAACAGGTCCATTGCCTAAGAGCAATAAATTATTACATTTGTATGTTAACAAATAATTGATGAAATAAATGAATTGACTTGTTGAATGGGACTACACAAGCATAAACTGGCAAAGTCACCTTTGATATGTAAAGAAGCGAGTTGGGATCATACTTGAAACAAAAACTGTCTCCCTGTTAACAAAACAAAATGGTCCATCAGTCAAAATACATCACAAGGCTATGAAAGTCATCTTTATTTAGGTGTAAACAAAATACTTCTTACAAATCTGTTAATGTGTCTAGAAATAGTTGGTGACTGCAATCACATTTGTTTTATTTTTACAAAATGTTCTTTTATCCCCCAAAAAAGCAAGGGAGTTGGGGTAAAACAATTATCATCCTTAAATTCTTGCTTTCCTCAGCTGGGCCTGAATTCAAGAGTTATGTAAACATAAGATCATCCACTCATCCAACACAAGATATGGTCAAACCAACAAAAACTAACTTAGCTTAGGTGTCTACAACCATTTCATGTGTTACCAACACCAACTGAGTTAAATGTGATGATGACCACTAAGTACCAGAACTGAAGAAAAGGATGCGCAAATCGTGTAATATGAAGAACACTGACAGCAAGCTATAGAAGCTAAGGTATTAGTTAATAGCAGGTAAGAGGAGTTCTGAACTAACTTTGGTACCTGATAATCAAGGTAGCTTTCAATCTCAAACTCAGGACAAAGGTTTGGAGACACTTCAGCATCAATGCGTTTCCGCCCAAACCTTTGCTCCCATTCAGGGCCACTGCGGTACGTGATGGTGGCTACTTCCCTAATAATTAGCAATAAATAGCAATCAACTGGTGGGAAGTGTTATGGTTCTAGTTTTTGTCACAGTGCATTCTGTTATACTGCAAGAATTCAAGCCTGAGTTGCGGCTGTTTTGTTTGAACAAAAGTTGCTTGAAAAATGCCAAATGGAACACAAGTTATGACTCCACATCATCAAAAAAAGCTTTTTGTAACAGGAAACATGGCACAAATTAAACTCTTAACAACCCTAACATCAGAGATGCCAACCTCTGGAGATCTCAAATCTGGAGATTTTTTTTAGGACCAGCACTTCCCCATCCAATTCACCGATGCAACCCGAAAATTTATATTGTGATTTGGACCTCCAACACCCCCCCCCCTCCCCTCATGATTGAGATTCAAACTGTGGACCTTTGAGTATCAGAGAGTGTGCCTAGCAATTTAGCAGGAAAAACATGGATCTATCTGTCAGGGACTTCAATTGATTGAATACTCATCCAATCAGACTCTCACTTATATAGGAGTAATGAAGAAGAAACTCTTTTCTTTTTGTTTACAGCAAACAATGTGCATCACACAGGAAAATGAAGCCAGAAACTGTAATACAAGCAAAAGAGGCCAAATGATTTTGGAATTTTGGAACCCATGGAGCTTAAGTCTTAGTTTTTCGAAGGTAACTGATCCAACCTCCCTTTTATCCAGGAGTTTTGGTCACCTGTACAGGAGAGCAGGAGATTGGCTCTGTATCCAGGAGACTCCCAGATAATCCAGGAGAGTTGGTATATATGTAACATCAGTAACCATTTTCTCCATACTTCTCTCTATACATCTCCTTCAGTACTTACAAGGACAATTTGCTTGTTTGGTTTGCAGTAAAATGTATTTTCTTTATTCTCATGATCTTAAATTAATGAATGATTCAGCAGTGTTAGAGTAAGGATTAAATTAGATGCTGGTCACTGTTCAGGTTTGAAGACTTCAAGGAAAATGAAGATCAAACTACACATTACACAGACACTCAGTGACTCTGATTGTTAGAGAACTAACCATGAAATACTGGTCAGCAAACTACGACCACACTTCCATTGACTACTAACAGTTTGTGACTTATGTAAGTATGAGAGACTCAAGTGAAGTTACCGGTACACTTGTAATTTACAAGAAACTGACCGAGCATGCTTCATTCCTAGCCTAGGGTAGGGTCCATCATAATAGAAGCCTTTGTTCCAGTTAGGATCACTCATGAGAACTCTGCGTTGAACATAACGGAGAGCTATGGATGCTGGGTGAGACTGGGCACAAGCAGAGATTGACACCACCCTTCAAAAGGAAACAAACAAGGCTATAATAAAATGCTTGCACAAGAAAAAAGACTCTGAACCACTTGATAAGCTGCACTTGGAGTTGTATCAAGAAGGATATATTTCAAACTTTACAGCCTAAATATTTATCTTTTGCACCCATTTCTTTGATACAACTATACTAATCAAAATATATGAACTTCATATATTTTATTGTATCTTATACTAATCTAAGCTACTTAATCCTACATATCTTTGTGTTTCTTCTTTATACTGTGGAAAGTTTTCACAAACTACTTGCAGCAATTATACAGATTTGATAGTACAGGCTGGTAAGTGTACAAATACCCTCACCTTGTCACAAGTAATAATTGGCCCTACAATGAGATTTCAAAATGCTTTGATGTAACCAGTCTTAAGTGTAACAAAAACAACAACACACTATGTTGTACCTGACGTAATTTTTCAAGGGATTTCAAAGCATAAAAATCACATAAATTTTACTGAAGGGTATCACAACAACAAAAAGCATGGGCAAAGAAGCCAAGTAAAAAGTGGAAAAAAAACCATTACCTCCCTACTCTGTCTGGGTACAGAGCAGCAGACATGAGCGAGGACATGCCTCCTAAAGATGCACCAACTACAGCATGAACCTGATGTCAATAAAATAACAAACTGACATTGAAAGGCAAATACAAACATTGTAACTACCTAATTTTGTATTTGAATCTTCTCCTTATATTTGACTTCAATTTTCAAGAATTGCACAACACTTTGTAACTTTAAATTTTTTCCCCTGTTAGGAAATAATTGATGATATTTATTGATATACAGTCAAAATTAGTGAATGCTTGAAGGGAAAGAATTTGAAGAAAAATTTTACACTTGATAGGAATTTTCTGCTGGAGAGCCATTTGTAAAAATGTTTAATGGCAAATTAGAAGACTTGTTATTTGTTCCATTCAGAAGGGGAAAATGCATAGGTCCAAATTAAAAACAAGCCTTTAGTGTTATAAGTCAGAATGATTAATACCCATTAGTGCCTACTGGCAAATAATACAGTCAAGAAACAGTTATAGTGCTATTTTGATTAAACATCAAAAGAGTTGATTTACCTCTTGGATACCCAGAGAATCCAGTGTGAGAAAGAATGCATGGACCATATCATCCACACTGACTATGGGAAATGTTGTAGCATAAGGCTGGAGTTGAAAACATACCTCAATCAATAATAGTATGGTATAATAATGAAATCAATCCATTAATATTTTAGTTTTAATATGAACATTAATTTTTACCTTATTAGTCAGTGGATTTATTGATGAAGGCCCACTGTAAAAACAACAAAAGAATCACNATTTTGTATTTGAATCTTCTCCTTATATTTGACTTCAATTTTCAAGAATTGCACAACACTTTGTAACTTTAAATTTTTTCCCCTGTTAGGAAATAATTGATGATATTTATTGATATACAGTCAAAATTAGTGAATGCTTGAAGGGAAAGAATTTGAAGAAAAATTTTACACTTGATAGGAATTTTCTGCTGGAGAGCCATTTGTAAAAATGTTTAATGGCAAATTAGAAGACTTGTTATTTGTTCCATTCAGAAGGGGAAAATGGATAGGTCCAAAAACAAGCCTTTAGTGTTATAAGTCAGAATGATTAATACCCATTAGTGCCTACTGGCAAGTATTGACACCTACAATATCCTTCGAGCCAGAATATTGTACTCAGTAAATTATATTGTTTAACATGCATGTCATGATTTGTTTAACGTCCTGTCAAATATAAAATAAACTCTTGGCTACATTAAACAAAAAAAATTGTATTCATTTCATTTTTCAAAGAATACTGACAACAAAGCTCAATTAAACTGCTGTTTGGCAGATTGGTGACAAATAATACAGTCAAGAAACAGTTATAATGCTATTTTGATTAAACACCAAAAGAGTTGATTTACCTTTTGGATACCCAGAGAATCCAGTGTGAGAAAGAATGCATGGACCATATCATCCACACTGACTATGGGAAATGTTGTAGCATAAGGCTGGAGTTGAAAACATACTTCAATCAATAATAGTATGGTATAATAATGAAATCAATCCATTAATATTTTAGTTTTAATATGAACAATAATTTTTACCTTATTAGTCAGTGGATTTATTGATGAAGGCCCACTGTAAAAACAACAAAAGAATCACCTGTTAGCCTGACTACAACTGGCACTAATGTCAACTTAAAGTACTAATAAAGGAACTAAATAAAATAAATAAATTTTAAAAAAAGATAAAAAAATTGAAAGATTATGTTATTTTAAAATTAATCTTGATGGCTTAATGTCTTTTGAGTGAAGATGAAAAAAGCCCCAAGTTAAACTTTAAGTAATTTGTTATCAATACGTTCATGCTTTAAAAAAATCAGGAACTTTAAATCTTTGATATTAATATCAAACATAATATGCAGACCTTGAGCCATAACATCCTCCCAAATTGTTACAGCAAATGATGAAAAACTTATCAGTGTCCAAAGCACAGCCAGGACCAACAAAGTTCTCCCACCAGCCAGGTGTTGGATTATCCTGTTAAAAACAAGAATCCTCATTCTATTGAATCACCAAACAAAAGTTGCCTGGCACATAAGACAGTGATAAAACCAACTTATTTTTGACATGTGCTCTTAGTAAAGAAGGGAAGGTGGCTCTAAAAATTTCTGGTGAGGTTATACTTTGCTATCAAGAGATACAAAACATCTTTACCTCTTAGAAAACTTAAAGTTTCATGTTTTCATATGTTTGTAGAATGGAGGGCAGAGCAATAGAAGAGAGTGAGATCTGAGCTTGTTTTTTTCTTAAAAAGAGGGCAGATACTTCATGCACATTATACCATAACCCTCAAGTACCATGAGTTGTAAGCTTACTGGAAGAAAAAGATTAAATTACAAGTAAGAGATATTTAAAAGTGAGAGAGGGGAAGAGCACTAAATTTTCAATGGTGACGGACACTATAGCTCCCCAACACTCTGCCCCCTAGGAATTACAGTCAAACTTTGATTATCCGAATTATCCAGACTTGCCTCTCTGGTCCTAATTCTTCACAAATATAAATTGTTACATGTGAGATCCATAACAACATTTTGTCATTAAATATGACATTATTTCATTGATGCACCTTCAAAGAATGATAGAATAAGCAAAATGCACTTCCTGCAGCAGCTTAAAACAAACTGATGTACATCAGGATTTTAGGTCCTATAACATTGATGTCATAGGACATTTTTTGTAAATACTTTGGCAAATTTTGGCGAAAAGGCTCAAATATTTGAGAATGTACTTTAATTCTTGCATAATATGGATTAAATGACACATATTCAGTTTTATTTTGGCTCATAAATATTTAAACTTTTGATAACGGTTTAACAGCTGTAATTCCAATATACTAAATGTTATCCATTAACCCTTTAACTCCTCGAAGTGATTAACATGTAACTTCTCCAATTAACATCCGTACATCATCCAGTAAACAGGTATTGAGAATGCTCAGACTTATCAGGTAGAAGTTGATAACTTGATCTGATAGCAAATTCTGGTAACTAATTCACAAGGAAATGTGTAGCAGCTAGAAAGGAGAATTAAAAATTACATCAAGGGAGTTAAAGTGTTAATGAATCATTCCCAGCCTATTAAATAGTAAAAAACTTAAAGGCAACTTACCAGATGACTTTTAGCATGTGATGAGGCAGACAAGCCAGTACACAAGAGAACAACATTGTCCTTTGCCTCATTCAATTCACCCCATGTTTCGTATGCTACTTGTAACTGTGGTATGACACCATCATTCTACTTAAAGTGAAATGGTTCATCATTCAAGAATGTCTTATAGCCTGAATTTACTTTAGAATACATTGGCTCTGCACCAAAATGGCTTGATCTACAAAAAATGATAAAATTTACACCATTGATGATTAGTAGCTTTGACATTTGTAGCCATTACTCTAAACCATATTGAACATGTTTCCCTATGGTGACCAAACCTTCTGTCTAATGTTGCATATTACAAGACATATTTAACTATGTTAAACCGTACTAATGCACATCACAATTCTAATGTTTTGTGGAGCTGAGAGTTATCCAGAGTTATTGCATCTTCCCTTATGCTCTGCTAACAAATCCACAGAGCAACTACAGGAAATACATACCTGAATATATAAGGAGACACAAGGAGCTGAAGCAGGTTCAAGAAAAGTAAAATGGCAAGGCAGGACGCTTGGTAGAGGAAGGAGTAGTCAACATTAAGTTGCACAATATCTTGAACTTGGAAGCTACCACTTATGAAAAGTGTTTGGTGTTTTTTAATAGCTCCTAATGTCCAACTTATGTTTTGAATGCTCGGCTTAGCATTGAATTTAACTGATATTTAACATTACTTCACACACTTATTTATCCATTTAGCTGTTTATTCATTTAAAAAAAAGTGGTACTTCAAATATACGAATGCAATTTAATTAGAAGAGCTCAGTCATTTGAATTGATTTTCCACAGAGAAGTTTCATGTGGTGGCTTGTTCCCCTATGTCTAGATTGCCAATAAGTTCTTTTGCACAAAAAAGATCAACCCTTTGGTCTGAATATTAACAATCATCCTTTCTGTTGATATCTCATTCTCAAGGGCAAACAAAATATTAAATATTTTAAAACGAACACGACCAGTTAATTTTATCAACCACATCTATCCCCTGAGGCGTTTAATTTGTATTAATGTGTATATCAATTACTTTGACCAACTCAGAGGTTAAATTACTTAAATACATATAAAATATATTCTTTGGTTAAAACACACTTGAACTTTTAAAACTATCTTTTTCGAATTAATATTCCCAGCTGTGGAATGGAAATCAGTCGATACCGATTATCGCTAGAGGATGTAGCCACAGGAGATTCCACGGGTGATGGAAAAGTCCTCCATTTAAGAACAAAAAAGAAAAATTCTACTCCACTGTTTGATTAAAATCTTCTAACAGATCTTTCTGCCTTCAAACATCGATCACACTACTAACAATAAATTTGCAGGGCGTCAAGCCCTAACACGTGAGCAGAACTCTACAAGCAAGTTCAAACGCTATCCGGTCTTTTCGACCGAGAGTCTTTTGGTCCAACTCTTTCCGTCCAACTCTTTTCGTCCAACTCTTTTCGTCCAACTCTTTTCGTCCAACTCTTTTCGTCTTAAGTCTTGGGTCCATTCGTCCAATAACAAGTCTTTTCATCAAAGTTATAACATTGTTTTCATGAATTGTAAAGCGATATATTTTAGTAAATAGTGACGAAAATAAAGACTTGTCGTTTAATATTATTTCGCGCGAAAGACAGGGTTGTACGTGCCATTGGCTCTTCGCAGAAAAGTGATTGGCGCCGGGTTTTTTTTTTTTTTTTTTCAGTTTTTTCTTTTTCACAGTTATGGCTTAGGCTTCTGAGACCTCTCAGATCTTAAATGTACATGTACCTTAACATCGATCGAACAATAAGGACCCAACAAGACTTAAAATGGCTGATTGACACCAATTTAATACCAAAGCAAATTTATAACCTACCGAGGGGATTGTTCCGTCAGGCAAGGGAATGAATTGTCCTGTCCCTTAAACTCCTGTGAAAAGTCCGGCACTTTAACCATTCTTTCGTTGTGTACATGTCGATGTTGTAACAAAGATCCTCCACAAATCTTTGTCCCTCGAGTTTTCTTCGTTAATGACAAAACCCGAAAAGGAAAACGTGATAAGTTCCGAATCATGATCAAATTTTTGCCGGATTTTTCAAAGTCCCATTTCTACCCGCTTTCTACTCGACCACCACCATTTTTCCTCGCACACATGCTGTCAGCTTGCCCTTTGCATGCGATGATAGTGCATTTTTGGCAGGACGTGAGGTCCTAATCGAGTTTCAACAAGTTTATTTATTTATGTCCATGCTGCATAAATGAGGTACGTGATCGACACGTGCTCAATCGAATTAAAAAGTTTCTGTGGTATCATCATCGTTCAGCATGATCCAAAACACATTCAAAATAAACCTTTGCTCTCCTTTTGTAAACCAGTCAGTGGAGAAGCGCCAAAGACTGATATAATTTGAGCAGAACTGCAGTTGGACTATGACCCGATACTCAGCTCCTCCAGCCCCTCACCAACCCCTCCTCTCCTCCTCTAGTTGACCTTCATCAGCGGTTATTCCTCGTTAGGATAATAATTCTAAATATGGCGCATAATATATCCCGTCCTTGAAGAGTGAACTCTCACCCTCTCTCTGCCCACGCAGCCATTCCTTAGGGGCCAAAATAGATAGATAATGGGATGCCTCTGACTTTCCTGCACCCTCTACCTTCTCTTTATATCTCTTTTCCTTAAAAATCTTGGCCAAAACTAGACCTCTCAACCTTAAAACACCAAAAGCTAGAGACTGATGTAAAAAAATCTGGAGATTTCAGTAAAAATTTGGAGATTGGTCGACCGGCAGATAAAACCAAGTAAACACAGATTCTTAAATTAATTAAAAATTAAGAAAAATTAAGAAAAATGTGTTAATTAAATTAAGAAAAATGTGTTTTTTCCTGCTCATAATTTACTTAAAACATGTGTGGACCTTAACAACACAGAAATAAACTTTAAATATTCATCAGGTTCATCAGTTGCCGCCATTTTGAAAACGTGTCGTGTCAAAATGCGAGAGACTGGTTATGATGACCTAATTTGGAACAGGTGTTCTATATATGGTCATGGACGACTC